TTCCCTCCTCCTCTACCACTTCCTATTTCCCTCCTCCTTCCTTCCCCTCACCTGCGTGGATGTGGCGAATCCATTATCCTCCTTCCTTTCCCTTCCCCCTCCCCCTCCCCCTTTCCACTCCTCCTTCCCCCTTCCCTCTCCTCCTATCCCTCCTACTCTCCCGCCCTCACCCTCACCTGCGTGGACGTATCGAATCCACTTTCTCCTTCTTCCTCCTCCTCCTTTTTCCTACCCCTACTCCCATCCCCTTCTCCCTTCCCCCTTTTCTCCTTCCTACCTCCTTGTCTTCCCTCCCCCCTCTCTCCTCCACTAGCCTCTTATCCCCCTTTCTTCCTATCCCTCCTCCCATCTCGACTTTCTCCTTCCCAACCCCTTATCATCCCCTTCTCTCCTCCCCACCCTACCCCCTAATCCCCCTTTCTCCATTCCCCCCTCCCTCCCTCCTCCCTTCCCCTACCTCCTCCTACCTCTCTTCCCTTCCCCTCCATCCCTACCTCCCCTTTACCTCCCTCCCCTCCCTACCTCCCCTCCCTCCCTCTCCTACCTCCCCTCCCTTCCCCCTACCTCCCCCCCCCTTAACCCCCCTTCTTCCCCTCCCTTCCCCCTCTCCCCTACCTCCCCTCTCCCTTCCCTCCCTTCCCCTCCCTCTCTCCCTTCTCCCCTCCCTCCCCCTTTCTCCTCCCCTACCCCCTTATTCCCATCCCTTCCCTTCCCCTCCCTCCTCTCCTTCCCCCTACTCCCCTCCCCTACCCCCTTAATCCCCCCCTTCTTCCCTCCCTCCCTTCCCCTACGCTCTTAACCCCCCCCCTTATTCCCATCCCTCCCTTCCTCCTACCTCCCTTCCCTCCCTACCTCCCCCTCCCTCCTCCCCTACCTCCCTCCCTCCTCCCCTCACCTGCGTGGACAGCAAAATGGCTCTGACGTGTTCGAGTTCCTGCGGGAGGGCGATGAGCAGCATGTAGGTGAGGCCCAGGAGCGGGATCAACACCAGCAGAGCCTTCGTCGCCTTCCGGTACCGCTGCGTCTCGACCGTGTTGGCGGAACGGAGCTTCGTGATGAGGACCTGGGGTGGGGGGATGGAAGGAGTGGGAGTGGGTGGGGGGTGGGGGAGGGGTGGGGGAAGAGGGAGGAGAGGGAGGGTGGGATAGGGAGGGGTTGGGGGAGGATGGGAGGTGGGAGAAGAGGGAGGAGGGATGGGGAGGGGTTGGGGTTGGGCGAGAGGGAGGAGGGAGGGGAGGTGGGATGGGGAGGGTTGGAGCAGGTGGGATGGAGGGAGGGGAAAAGTTGGGGGAGAGGGAGGAGGGAGGGGAAATAGTGAGAGAGAGGGAAGAAGAGGAGGAGGGGAAAGGTTGGGGAGGAGGGAGGGGAGATGGGATGGGGAGGGAGGAAGGGGAATGGGAGAGAGGGAGTGAAGGAGTGGGAGGGGGGATGGAAACGGTTGTAGGAAGAGGATGAGGGAAAAGGAGGGGTACGGTAGGGTTTGGAGGGAAATGGAGACCATATGATTAGATAATGTAATTAAGAATTAAGGAATCCCGAAATCATTTCCCTAGCTAGCCATAATATATCATCATTATATATTGCGGGATTTCCACATCTGCGAATCGGCTCTCTCTCTCTCTCTCTCTCTCTCTCTCTCTCTCTCTCTCTCTCTCTCTCTCTCTCTCTCTCTCTCTCTCTCTCTCTCTCTCTCTCTCTCTCTTTCTCTCTCTCTCTCTCTCTCTCTCTCTCTTTCTCTCTCTCTCTCTCTCTCTCACTCTTTCTTTCTTTCACACTCACACACACATGAAAGACAGTTTAAAGACAAGTGCCTACAAGACTAGATATCGTGGAAGATACTGATAATATTCGAGAAATAAAGATAAAGAAATATATAATGATAACGAATGAGCAAAGGAAAAAAATTCACACAAAGAAGATGAAAATAACAAATATATAAATAAACATTTCCGGCACGAATTTAATCGAATGGAAAAAAAAAGAAAAACTTTAACTCGCTCCCAATTATAAAGTTGGAGGATTACCAGATATTAGTCAGAGTTTGACGACTCCAAAACGACCACAAATTACCCTCATTTACAACTCGTAAACAAAACACTGGACAGCGTAAGCAGCCGAGGTGTTTTCAACCAGATTTTGATAAACTATTTTACGAGTTTTAGAACATTACCGTTACTTTCTCCTATCGAAACAAAACAATGAAACTGACTTTGGATGAGAACGAGAGATAAAGTAATAAACAAAATTACACGCCAAATATTAAATCAATATACCCCCCCCCCCCCGTAAAATGAAAGAAAGAGAGAAAGAAAAACACATAAATATCAGTGGTAGTAAATGAATATTGGAAAAAAAAATTGAGCTAAATTCACCCTGATTTAAAAAATGTAGGTTACGAAGAGTTCATTATGATACTAACGTTAGAGTTATAAAGTATTGTGCATAATAATAAAAATCATAATACATTGCAAGAATATTGATAATAATTCCCAAATTATAA